TCTGTATAGATACAAATTAGTTTACTAATTGTATCTATTAGTTTCCATTTAGGATACAGATGTTTCAACCGCTGTACATGTGAAGAAGCTGTGAGAGAACTGTCAGAAATAGAGGAACTCTGCACATACACTTTTTGCCGGCTTGGAATTATTCTTCTTTTCATCCTACTTCTTCTTCTTCTTCTCATCCTCATCCTCTCTCTTCTGAGGATGAAGATGAAGAAGAAGAAGAAGTAGGATGAAAAGAAGAATAATTCCAAGCCGGCAAAAAGTGTATGTGCAGAGTTCCTCTATTTCTGACAGTTCTCTCACAGCTTCTTCACATGAACAGTGGTTGAAACATCTGTATCCTAAATGTAAACTAATAGATACAATGTTTCAACCGCTAAACATGTGTTCCTTCTGTCAGAGAACTGTCAGAAATAGCGGAGCTCACTGCAGGGACACTTTTGCCGGCTGATCGGGAAATGTTCGATTCGCGCACCCGAAGTAGGCAAAATTTCGGTTCGCCGCGAATCGAATATTTCCTGAAATTCGACTCGAATTCCGGTTCGCCTGGTTCGATTCGCTCATCTCTAGCAGGCACTATCACTTGCCAAACATGACTTATTCAAGTGAATAGTGTTTGGTTGTGGCGCAATGGTACAGCATGTGCCTCATATTTCTTTTTAGTGGCATGGCATCCTTGCCGCACGTGTAAACGAGCCCTAAGCAAAAAATATTATTTTACTTTTTAATGTTACTCGTTAGATAGCAAATTTATTCTCAGGAATAAGGACACTGAGACATCTGCCCATACTTGAACCTGCCACTGTCTTCCTGGCCTATGGGTAAAAGTGGCACAAGCATAGTTAATGTATCCATTCCTTAGAGAAAAAAGAAGGATCAACACCCATACACAGGCATTTCTCTACAAGTTAAAACATTCTGCATGTGATAATGAGGTATTTCCTTGATGGTTAAAGGTGCTTGATTGCACCCAGAAAAACCCAACACAGCCCCTTCTAGAAGGTGCCCAAATTGTAGCAAGATACAACCAAATGTGGTTCATGCAACTTAGTGTTGTATGAAGGTAGAACCAAAATTGAAACTCCCTAAGAAAATAATCGTAGCCATGGGTTCACTAGAGTTAGCCATATGTAAAACATTTTTAGGGACAATAGCTAGTGTAACTGCTTGCAAACAGTTTGTCTTTATTGACTTTATAGACCACTTGCCACAAGGTCAGGATCTGTGGGGCATATTCTGAATGGGGGCACAGACACCAACAAAAACCTGGCATATATTACCTCAACTTTCTCTTTCAGTAACATCTGTGTGACAGTGTGTCAAGGGCAAAAAAAGTTGGGGGAGATCTCTATAATTAGTATATAGACAGCGTTAAAACGTTTACACAGGTTTAAACCCTGCACCACTCTACCCAAAATTAAAAGTTACACTTCCAGAAATGGCAGCAATGGTTGTTGAAATAGGAAAGAACAAGGTGGCAGGCACTGATTTTATGTGCAATGTCTCTTTTCTGAAGCTGCTTTTGTTTATCTTACATGTATAAGCGCATGGAGGAGCAGGTGATTACACATCAGCACTCTTACAAGCATGTGTCAGGAAGCAAAGCGAAAACCTCCTAAAAAATAATTGTAGCCTGGAATAGTTGTCTTGATTTAAATTTGAGCCATATTGAATGTAATTCACAGATGAAATCAAGCATGTGTTTTGGATAAATTGTGGAAAGCATTATAATTTCTGTTTTTATTGCTGCTTATGCCCTTGTTGACTAGCTTTCCCTATTTCCTGTTGTGGAACTGGGAAAGGAGTTGAGTAGAATCTCTCGAAATAGAACACAGGCAGGAATAGCTGTTCATTTCATTAAGAGTAGGGAAAAGTTAAAAGCATTTCTTTTCTTTTGCTTGTGTCACTAGGATGGGAAATGAGGGGAAATACCAACATTGTAGTAACATACAGCAACAATAACCTGACAGCCATTCTAGCCTTTCATTACAGCACTCAAACCTAAACAAAAGTTATGACTTGAAAAATTAGTATAATTAAAAATCAATGTATGCAAAATTAAATTTGAATAGCTCATATGTAAACAAGTCACATTTTACCTAAGCATAGAGTTAAATTTATCTTATGCTATTACAGAATTGTTGGAGGTATTTTCTCTAGGGAAAACTGCAGTTTCTTTGAATAGCTTATTTTTAGTGAAGAACTCTATAAATAGCATTATCCTGCTCTAGTACTTTTTAGAGTACTAGCAAAGTATGACCTCTGTCTGTGTTTGAGCAATCTAGCAAAGGAGGTTTTGAAGTGGGTTACATAACATGTTGTTATATGGTTAATTGGATCAGAGAAGGTAACCAGAGAAACAACACTTCTCATGACCCAGGTTTCTGCTTTGCCTCTTATTTGTGTCATTTGTTTAATGAATAAAGGTTGTTGAAAAGCACATTTCATGCAAGTTGCAAATATGTTTTTGTCAATAGTGGGCTACTGCAAAAATGCATAGATTTTGGTGGCTGACTCGTAACATTTTTTTTTCTGTATCAGGGAAGCAGTATTGTGACCTTATAGAACCTGGCTGTAGGTGTGTTCTCCCCATATTCAAATGGTTTCCCTTCACAATTCGGCAGTATGTCATTGTCTTCTTTACAGTAAGGCAGCAAAGAAACAACAACATGGAACAACTTTTTGTAGCTCTACCTATTGTACCAAAATAATTTGTTTTAGAAGGTAATGCTATACTTTCACAGTTCCTTTAGTGGAGAGAGTTTTGTATCTATTTGGTTGTCTCACCATGAATCAGCTAATACTTAAATCAAATATATGGAGTTAGAAGTTCTATCAAGTACTCACTGCTGTCTGTGACTCCATTGGGTAGGCATGTGGCTGAACTTACACATGAAAAATGTCTGATGTAACTGGATTTTTGTATTCTACACGGATGGGATTCTATGGCATATGTTGCCTGTGGTGAGGGGTCCTCACCTATTTGTTGAAGATGGTGGTGGGTTGTCTGGGTTTTTTCTGCAGCTGAATAAACTAATGACTGTTGATCTCTTGTGATTTACTCATTTTCATTAGGGGATGTTTTCACCAGTGGTATGAGCTGATGGATACTCATTTGTAGTGTCATAATATAGTCAAGAGTACACAACTTTCTCTTTTTTCCCTCACATATGGTTGGCAAAATATGGGTTTCTCTGATCAGCTGAGTAGTAGGCAGTTTTTAAATCAAGCTCTCTGTTTGCTTTCTACCTTCTCTAACCCAACTATGCTAATTAATTTAAAGCTGAACTCTGGTGAAAACGAATATACTCCCTTGTAGCGGGACTGCCCTCAAATTACAAAGTTAAATGGTTGTTTAGGTCTAGGGAGCACAAAAAACACGTTTACTTATCCAATCCTCCGCTGCTAAAGGTGGGGGTGTAAGACTTGTCTCCACAGCCTCTACTTCCCTATGCTTTTGGCAGTCGTTGGCCCTCTTGCATCATCAAGACTGTAGTCCTGCAGTGGATGTGAGGATACTAAAGTACAGCCCACTGCTGAAGCGTAAGGAGTGAAGGAAAGCATCAGCTGCTGGGGAAAGTGAGGTTTTGGTTAGAAAAACTGCTTTTTGTGGTCCCCTAGACATAAACAGACATTTAGCCCTTGCAGTCCCAATGGGCATTCTTGTTCTCCCATGACATGAACCTTAAATTCCCAAGTTTACCATTTGATGTTTCTATAAAAGACTGATGTAAGTGAATTCAGCTTTTTTAAAAATAATATACCAATGCTTAATTTTCACCATAGTAGTCCATTAAGTTATTGAATTTTTTGGATCATAATGTACCCCATAATAACAAAGTGAAATCAGAATTTTAGAATGTCTATGAATTTATTAAAAAGAAAAAAAATTGAAATATCACATGTACTTAAGTATTTAGACCCTTTACGCAGTACTTTGTTGAATCACCTTTGGCAGCAATTACAACCTTGAGTCTTTTTAGGTATGACAGGACAAGCTTTGCGCACCTGGATCGGAAGATTTTTTGCCATTTTTCTTTGCAGATCTTTGTAATCTCAGTCAGGTTGGATGGGGACTGCCAGGACGTTGCAGAGAGTTGGGGCAGCAGAAGTAAGAAGTAGCCCATGATGACTTGAGAGATTGATCTAATGCCATATTTAGTCTAAGTGCTAGGCTTTGGAAGCATATATAAATGGGACAGCATGGGATTAATCCAAAAGGGGGAATTAGGGGAAACAGCAACTATAGGATAATTTCAGGTGCCAGACCCGCCTTCCAGACCCATAAAGTGGTAAGCATGAAGGGAGTGAGAGGGTAGGGGGTTTTGGCACCTCTGAAGGAATTTGAGGGATCAACTGTAGAGAGCGAACCACTGCAGCTTTCAAAAGGATGGCAGGGATTCAACCACCAGGCTGCTGCGACTAACTGTGAAGCAAGAAAGTATTTATAGCAGTCCAGGAAGGCCAGGCCTTCTCATGGTGGGTTTTATAAAATTCAATAGGGAGGCCGTACCAGTAGGAGAGGATTGAATAGCGGTGAGAACTTCATCAGGTGTAATAGGGTGAACCAAAATCTCGCACTTTGCATCTGAGAGCTAGCCCAGAGCCAAAGGATCTAACAGGCCAGAAATGTCTTAAGGCCCCATGTACACAGGACACTTCTGAATGATAGAAACTGACTGCTGGAAAACGTAGGTTAAAAAACGTCTGTTTAGCTGCGTTTGCATAACTCGTTTATGCGTGTTTGCATTTAGAAGCGTTTTTTAAAGATAAGCACAGGAGAACCTCTCAAATGCCCAGAATGCACTGAAAAGTGGTAAATTGTTACCTATTTCAGACTGTTTCAGAGAAATACAGAGAGTAGAAGCAGACACAGAAGTATGTGTTGATATTAGCTAGGTGTGAGTTGCTCATTAACATTTCTTTTGTTTCCAAGGGTGGGACAGGTGTCTGGTGGAGTGAGTCATTAAGGTCACCTGGCAGGGGGTCTTCATGAGGAATTTGAGGTGTGAATGGTCATTAACATATCTTTTGTTTCCAAGGGTGGGAGAGGTCTGACTTGTGAATTGGTCGTTACAATGTGTAACAAGCTTGGTAGGAACATCCTGTGTTAAGTGTTTTGTCAATCTGAGCACCTTGAAAACGCTTTGCATGCATTTTTCATGATGAAAAAAAGCTCTGGACAGCATTGGGAACTGGGAAGAGTTAAAAAAAAATGTAAACTAAAACGCTTATAAAGCAATTTGCCGCGTTTAGCCGCATTAACAAGCATTTTGCGGTTGAAACACTGATAAAATCAACTGCTGCATGCAAGTTTGGAGCTTTCAAAAAAAACAACTGTAAACTCAAATGCTTTGTAAAAGACTGTCAACAAAGATGTGTACATGGACACATAGGAAAACATTAGGGTGATGTCAGGGGCTGCTGAAAAAAACGCTGAACAGCTCCTAAATGTGAGTTTATCAGCTGCAGTGTACATGAGCCCTGAGGGTTGAAATCAAGGGGAAGGGTAGAGATATAGAGGGTGATATAAAATTGGCAGAAAGCATATAGTATCTCAGATGGAGAGGAAACAGAGTTTTCCGAGAAGGTGCGGAACTCATTGTGAGGGGTGTTCATGGTGGGCCATCATAGCCACTCTAAGTTGTTCCTAAGCCACCCCTGTGTTGTCTTGGCTGTGTTCTTAGGATCATGTTAGAAGGCGAACCTTCGTCCCAGTCTGAGGTCCTGAGTGTTGTAGAACAGGTTTTCATTGAGGATATCATTCACTTTTCCTTCAACATTGACCGGGCTCTCAGTCCCTGCTGCTGAAAAACACCCCCACAGCATGATTTTGCCACCACCATGTTTCACTGTTGGGATTGTACGTGGCAGGTGATGAAAAGTGCCATGTTTCCTCCAGACATAATGTTTAGAATTGAGGCAGAACAGTTAAATCCTGATTTCATTAGACCAGAGAATTTTGTTCCTCACAGTCTGAGATCCCTTTAGATGCTTTTTTGCAAACTCCAAGCAGGCTTTCATGTGTTTTGCACTGAGGAGAGGCCTCTGTCTAGCCACTTTGCCATAAAGCCCATATCGGTGGAGGGCTGCAGTGATGGTTGTCCTTCTGGATCATTGTCTCATCTCTACACAATATCTCTAGAGCTCATTCATCTTGGTCACCTCTGTTACTAAGGCCCTTCTCCCCGATTGCTCAGTTTGGCCTGACCACAGCTCTTGGAAAAGACCTGGTTGTGCCAAATTTCATCCATTTGAGAATTAAGGAGGCTACTGTGCTCTTGGTAACCTTCAGTGCAGCAGACATTTTTTTGCATCCTTCCCCAGATCTGTGCCTTTCAACGATCCTGTCTGAGCTCTGCAGGCAGTTCCTTTGACCTCATGGCTTTTGCTCTGATACACTGTGCATTTTCAGCTGTGAGCATGGCCAAATCTAGGGGGTGCTAGGGTGGGCTATCCCCCCCAGATTTAATTGTGCCCCCCCCCCCCCAAATCAAATGCCCTTCAGCCTGAACGCTTTGCCTGCTTGCTATACCATACTGTGCAGGCAGTAGGCTCAGCGGGCAGGAGAGACTGTCTGTACCACTCCCCTGTCTTTTAATTAGCTTAAATTGTCCCTCGGGATGTTCAATATCTCCAAAGGCAGCTGGAGTTAGTGAGCGGGGATGGGGGTGTGGCTGCCTCCTCCACTCCTCCCACAGACTCCTTCACTCTGGCTGATCCCAAAGTTGATGAAGGGGAAAAGGGAGTGGACACAGTAGCCCGGGCTGTCAACATCTCCAGCCATGTGGTAAGTGTCTGAGCACACTGTCACTGCAAGCCCAAGCCCGCCACTATACTACCCTAATTTGTCACTATATCACCCCAATCTGACACTATGCGCTAACCTGCCACTTTACTACCCTAACCAGCCACTATACAGACACTATACTGTCCTAACCTGCCACTATACTACCCTAACCTGCCACAATTTACCCTAACCTGCCACTACAATGCTCTAACCTGCCGCTATACCGCCCTAATTTGCCACTATACTACCCTAACCTGCCACTATACTATCTTAAACTGCCACTGTGCTATGTTAACCTGCCATTATACTACCCTAACCTGCCACTATACTATCTTAGACTGCCACTATGCTATCTTAACCTGCCACTATACTACTCTAACCTGCCACTATTCTGCCCTAGCCTGCCATTATACTACCCTAACTTGCCACTATACTGCCATAACCTGCCACTATACTACCCTAATCTATCACTATACCACTAACCTGTCACTGTACTACCCTAATCTGTCACTATATGACCCTACCCTGCCACTATACTTCCCTAACCTGCCACTATACTACCCTAACCTACCACTATGCTGCCCTAACCTGCCACTATACCACCCTAATCAGTCAATATATTGCCCTAATCTGACACTCTACCACACTAATCTGTCACTATACTGCCCTAATCTGTTTATATATCACTTTAACCCGCCACTTGTACTGCCTTAATCTGTCCCTACATCACCCTAATCTGCTACTATACTACCCTAATCTGACACTTTACCACCCTAATCTGTCACTATACCACCCTTATCTGTCACTATACTACCCTAATCTGTCAATATACTACCTTAACCTGCACTGTATCACCCTAACCTGCCACTTTACTGCCCTAACCTGCCACTATACTGCTCTAATCTGACACTATACCGCCCTAATCTGTCACTATACTGCCCTAATCTGACACTGTTCCACTCTATTCTATCACTATACTGCCCGAATCTGTCACTATACCTCCATAATATGTTAATATTCTGCCCTAATATGATGCTATATTGCCCTAATCTGTCACTATGATGCCCTAATCTGACACTGTGCTGCCGTAATCTGTCACTATACTACCCTAATATGGCACTGATGCTCTAATCTGTCACTGTACTCCCCGTAATCTGACACTATACTGCCATATTCTGGTACTTTTCTGCCCTAGTCTGACACTATACTGCCCTAACCTCACACTATATTGTCCCTGTTTGACCAGGTTGTGTGCAAGGATGAGAGAAAGAGCTCTGCTACATGCCATGTCTGCAGTGACCTCTGTCTAGCCAAACGTGACTCCTGTCCTCTGCCCTGCCAGCAGTGAACCCTGACCTCTGCCCTGCTAGTTGTGACCCCTGTCCTTCACTCTACTGACCCCTGTCCTCAGCTCTGCTGTCCCCTATCCTCTGCTTTGCTGACCCCTGTGCTCCGACCTGCTGACCCCTGTGCACTGCCCTACAAACTAATGGCCTTTGTACACTGCCCTAAAAACTGTTGACCCTATCCTCTGACCTACTGACCCCCTGTACACTGCTCTGTTGACCTGCCATCCTCTGCCCCCCAGACATTTTTTTTTTGCTCCCCCACATCAGACAGGCTAGATCTGGCCCTGGCTGTGAGGCCTTTTATAGAGAGATGTGTGCCTTTCCAAATCATATCCAATCAATTTAATTGATCACAGATGGACTCAGCAACGATCAAGAGAAATGGGAGGCACCTGAGCTAAATTTCAAGTGTTTTTACAAATGGTCTGAATACTTATGCTATTGTGATATTTCAGTTTTACCTTTTTCATACAGTTAGGTCCATATATATTTGGACACAGGCACAATTTTAGTTTTTTTTCAGGTATTTACCAAAGCATATTCAAGCTATACTTATATAATGGATATGGACTGAAAGTTCACATTCTCAGGTTTAATTTGAGGGTATGTACATCCAAATTGGACGAAGGGTTTAGGAATTACAGCTCTTAAGAGTAGCCATCCCCCCTTTTTCAATGGACCAAAAGTAATTTGACAATTGAATCAAAAGCTGTTTCATGGCCAGGTGTGGTCTACTCCTTCGTTATTTCTTCATCAATTAAGCAGGTAAAAGGTCTGGAGTTGATTCCAAGTGTGGTATTTGCATTTGGAATCTGTTGCTGTGAACCTACATCATGTGTTCAAAGGAGCTGCCATGCAAGTGAAACAGTCCATTGTAAGGCTTCAAAAACAAAACAACTCCATCAGAGAGATAGCAGCAACATTAGGAATGGCCAAATCAACAGTTTTTTACATTTTGAGGAAAGAAGAACACACTGGTGAGCTCAGCAACATAAAACGGAATGGACATCCACAGAAGACAACAGTGGTGGGTGAATGACACTCTCTAGGAGGTGGGTGTATCATTGTCAAAGTCTACAATCAAGAGAAGAATTCACGAGAGCAAACACAGAGGGTTCACCACAAGGTACAAACCATTCATAAGCCTGAAGAATAGAAAAGCCAGATTAGATTTTGCCAAAAAACATCTAAAAAAGCCAGACCAATTCTGGAAAAGCATTCTTTGGACGGATGAAATTAATATTAATTGTACCAGAATGACGGGAAGAAAAAAGTGTAGAGAAGGCTCGGAACAGCTCATGATCCAAAGCACACAACGTCATCTGTAAAACATGGTGGAGGCAGTGTGATGCCATGGGTATGCATGGCTTCCAGTGGCACTGGGTCATTGGTGTTTATTGATAATGTGACAGAAGACAGAAGCAGCTAGATGAATCCTGCTGTGTTTTGAGATATACTGTCAGCCTAGATTCATCCAAATGCAGCAAAGTTGATTGGACGGCGCTTCACAGTATAGATGGACAATGGTCCAAAACACACTGCAAAAGCAACCCAAGAGCTTCTGAAGGAAAATAAGTAGAATATTTGAGTCAATCACCTGATCTCATCCCAATTGAGCATGCATTTCACTCGCTGAAGGCAAAGCTAAAAGCAGAAAGCCCCACAAACAAAAAACAACTGAGACAGCTACAGTTAGAGCCTGGCAAAGCATCAGAAAGGAGGAAACCGAGTCTTTGGTAATGTCCATGGGTTCCAGACTTCAGGCAGTCATTACCAGTAAAGGATTCTCAACATAATATTAAAAATGAACATTTTGTTTATGATTATATTCATAAATCAATTACATTTGAGCCCCTGAAAATGGAGGGACTGTGTATAAAAATGTTTGCAGTTCCTAAAATTTGTACTTGAATTTATGTTCAACCCCTTGAATTAAAGCTGAAAGTCTGCACTTCACATTCATTTGGATTGTTTTGTTTTAACTTATTCTGGTGGCATACGGAGCCAAAATTTAGAAAATTGTGCCTGTGTCCAAATATATATGGACCTAACTACATTTGCAAATATTTATAAAACTCTGTTTTCACTTTGCCATTATGGGTTACTGAGTGTAGAATTAATGAGAAAAAATTGAATTTAAATAACTATAGTATCAGGCTGCAACATAACAAACTTGAA